AATCTAAAATTTCCTATGAAAATATAGAACATCACATTTCAAAGCTAATGCTAATCCTGCAACAATTAATATGAGGCTATTTTACATGTATTCTGCTTCACAAGCAAAATATGTACACAGTTAAAATCCATTAAACACCCAAATCAGCTATATTTTAAATAAAACATACTATATATTCATTGTAAAAAACTTTAAAGCATAGAATGAAATATAATTAACAATTACATGATAACATTATATAAATGTAATAAAACCCATATAGCTTTTAATCACTTTCTTTCATTTCAAGTTTAGTTGTGAACACCAAATATTTTGGCAAATTGCAATTACACAAGTATGTAGGGGAATTTTATTACACTGAGGATAAGATCCTGCAGCCAATATGAATATAGATGGAAGGTTTGCAAGGTACTGAGAAAAACACACAAGTAACTAATATATGAAGTAAAATTAAGGGAATGACCAATATAAACGTTTGCAAATACAGACAAGCAATATATTGACACATCTCAAAAAACATAGCAAAATAATAGATAACATTTTAAAATCACTCAGAATATATTAATATTTTCACATCCTCAATCACCACCACATTAGGAATATAAGGAAATAGGAAAGTGATTTTAGTAATGTGTAATAGATTTCCACACAACTAGTGTAAGACAAACATCAGACTTATTGATATATTTATATGAGTGTAATAAGCATATTTTGCCATTAATATTTGAACATAATGCATAATGCATAATTTTCTTTTTGTGGGGCAGATGTTTTTGGCTCAACAATCCCAGAGTTGTTTCAAGAAGTACAGCTTCTTATTAACCCCCGGAGAATGCCCTACTTATTCTGTAATTTAATTATACAAGAGAGCTGTCAGTAATCCCAATATAGCAAATCTGCCTTAAAGTTTTTATGACTATTATAAAAGTTTCTAATCAGGAGGACCAAAAATGTTTGCCTTGATTTCATTAGAATGATGGGAATACATTTGAGTAATTCTAAGTGCTCCTTCATGTGCTTATAATTTACAAGGTTTGTTAATTGTGCAGGTAGGGGCTCCATAAAGTATTTTATTAAACTGAAAACCTGAAACAAATGTGACCATGGTATTTTATTTCAGAAAGTTGTTATAAATACTATGTAGCAATTACATGTGGGCAAAATAAGATTTAAAAGATTCAAAGCAAGCAAACAAACAAACAAACAGCTCAACAGTTTTGAGTCAGTAATTTGCCCCTGAGTCTGAGATTCAACTTGAGGTCTCCAGAGAGTTCAATACAAGAAAAGCAGTCATCCAGCATGTGCTCTCCAAGGTCCACAGCACCACTGGTATACAGCTGGCTGTCCTGGATGCCCCAGCCATGCCTTAGCATCTGTCTTGGCACAGTGGATCCCACCTTACTGGAACCTTTTAAGCTAGCTGTTAGGGGCAGCATAGGAGCCCAGAACCAGCCTGGAGATGACATGGAGATCCTGGTAGAGACAGCAATGAGCTGACCAGGGTTAGGTTGATCTAAATGCCTAATCATGCACCCACTGTTGTCAGCTGAATGCGGAGTGCATAGGACTGTCCAAATAAGACTTCTACTGTACATCTGGCAATGAGATAGATACTATATATCCTTGTGCAGTGGAAAGGGTGGTGTCTACTGTACCTTGGTGGTCAGTTTGTTGACTTGAATTCTGACACCTGATGTTATATGGAAGAATGTTAGCTAGGTCTGGCTATCACACAAGTAGCTTCAATGCTATTCTGATAATTGCCGAAGTATGATGAAGATGTCAACTAGACCACTGCAGTGGGACATGACATTCACCAAACGAGTAATAGAAAACAAGCCCCAAACTATGCAGCCTTTAGGTTCTAGTTCTCTATGTATTTACAGCACTGCAAATACTGCACAATAGATGACATCCATGTTGGGCTCAGTGCTTTAGAAGTCACAAGACAGACTGCTGTTGTGCAGTGTATATTTGAGGCAAAAGTTAGGTAAATTGATAGGACAGAGGCTGAGCACCACACGTTTGAACATTTGTTCATGTGGAAGAAAGTAATGATCAATAGTTTACATCAGTAATATAAAACATGGAAGAATTTTGCAAGTGATCCTTACCCATGCAAATCATCTATAGAAGCATAAAGGAGCCAGTCATTACCAAAACAAGATGTTTGCTGTTCCAAAGTCTGTCGTCTAACTAATATACTTACAACATTCAAAGTAAACACTATTTCATACAGGAATTGCTGAACAACTGAGGCTCCTTTTGTGTCATGGTGGTTTACTGGGTAACTTGGCAAAAGCACCTGACAGCTAAGAATAAGCAGTCGTCTCAGAGCAGAAGTCATATGTAGCATAATAACTGGGGGTGCAACGTGCACCATGAAAACAATTATATGATGACCCAGTCCAAACTGATACAGACAATAGCAATAAGACCACAATCTTAGAGGCAAAGCATGAACCGAGTAGTTGATGCGTCTTGCTATGGCTTCAGTACAATGGGTTTGGGTCCTGTTCTGGACTCAGGCCAAGACTGCCACAAGGCAAACCAATTCTAAATGGAGACCTGGACGTTTAGGCTAGGATATTAACAGTAGCTAAACGTGATGCTAATTACATCATTTCAATGTGTGATTAATGAGAGTAATGACACTAGCTTGATGGGTCATTCAGTTAGGGCAGACCTTTGATTTTTTTTTTTTTTTGGATTGACTTCAGCTATTCCATGACATAAGAGCACAAGCTCAGGACACAAACAAATCCAGAAGATGAAGTAACAGCCAAGGAGTATTAGGATGGGGAATAGATTTCACATATGCAGTCATGTCACAGTTCACCTACTTGAAATTTAAGACAGAGCAGTGAATTTAACTTGCAATTTACAGAAATTAATTCCCCAAAGGGTTAAGTGAATTACATATGGAAATCTCATTACCAACCAAGTGGAGCTTTGGAACAGATTCTGTACATGGCAAAAATCAATTTTAGAGTTAGGTCTTTTTTTTACTTGTACAAAGATTCTATTCAGCTGAGCTCCTTTAGGACAGTTCTACCATTTTCTCCAAAAAAAGATGGACAGAATATTTCTGCTCCTGAGCGGAAACCTTGCAAACCAAGAAAACAGGGTGCAACAGTAAGCAAACATTTTAACCATGGGAACAGAAGCACAGACACATTAATTACTACTAAAATACAAAAATGAAAGATTGGAAATTACTAAACCAAAGAGAAACACCTATTTTGTATTCTAGGTACTGCTACTTACAAGTAAAGTATATTTAAGTCATCACAATCCTGCATCAGCCACTGGAGGACTAGGGAGTTTTTTCCATCCCCATATCTATTTTTTAATGAACTTGGAGAGGCTGATAGTTTTTAAGTGCATGTGTGTGTGGTCATGTGGGTTAACATATGCAACAACATGTGCAGAAGTACTGAAAATTATGTGCATTTTATAAAGACTCCATACCCACATAAATAACTTTAAAGTATGCATTAGTAACTGTGACCTAGTCATCACATCTCTCTTTTTTATTTAAGGTGCTAACATCTATCATGATGAACTCGATGTATCAATTAGGATGTCAGGCCTTTTATAGAACATCCACTATAATTCAGCATTTATTAGCTGGACCATTATGTGAGAGCATCAGTTGTGACTAGAAAGGTCATTCAAAACACTGAGATTGAAATGACACCTTTAGTTTAACTAGATGATAAATAGTGAAGAATGCCCTTAGTCCCTGTTAATAAAAGATGGAAATGGGGATGATTCAAAGTGCAGAAGCATTCCTGATTCATTTGTCATAACCAATAAATTATGTCATCTCTCCTTCTATTTTTCAATTGTAACAGAGAATTCTTGAATACCCAATAGGATATAACCCCTATTTTAATACAAAAAAGTCATCCATGATGGAATAATAATGATTCCTCATTTTTGGGTAATATTTGTGCTTTGATAAAAAGTTTTAGGACTTGACGTGCTGAAAGATAATACGTCTCTGAAAAGCTAAGTGACTCTCCAGTCAGTAAATGCCTTGTTGAATTATTCTCGCTTCTATACATAAAGTGACAAACAAGGTTCTTTAAGAGCTCTTCCACATCAACAAGAAATTTTTACCCATCATTCTGAAAAGAAGGTGGCTGTGGCAGAGGGCTTAATCATGCAAAGTGCCAAGGTGGAGCACTGAGTACTCTGTAGGACTTTGCCTACAAGTGTCCTCAAAGTTTCAAAAAAATTAAAAATGCTGCAAGCAGGTGTGCTGCATGTAATTATCAGATTTTTGTCTGCCATTCAATTGTGGATTATGCAGAAAAACTATTTTCCTCACAAACATCATATCATATTATATCTAGAATTTATAGACAAGCCAACTGTACACCTTAACTTCATGCTGACTTTAATAGTTATAACAAAAATAAGTATCTGTTTAGTATGCAAGACTGCTGTCACCCAACACTAGGCTACAAACAGAAAAATCAAGTCTAACCTAAATGTCTGTGCTCTTAAAAAACCTCTAAGTCCTACTACTCAAATTCATTCAAGTGCAATACATGTGATCTCCTGAAGTGCTGCACTTGTTTCTGAAGTGTGCTAACAACATACAACATTTTTCTTCATGATGCAGAGTGGGGCAAAATATTTTACTGGCATAAGTAGTCTTAAAAAGCTAATTGTCATATAATCTTACGTGCAAATCACATGCAGTACCTCTAGGCTGATGAAAATTCAATTTGGCAGTAAAGCAATATTCACCAAAAATAACTTTCATTCTGGAAAAACATAAATGTTATTGACACGTTGCAGAGAAATCTTTTAGAATATACAATAATTCAGTAGGAAGCTGCTCCATATAGTTTTTGCTTTGAAACAGCACAATAAAAGCCATTAGAGGCATCTTCCTTTGAACTGTTTGCAGTGCACATGTAATGTAGGTAATATGCAGCGACATTATGTTAATGCAACAAAAGCTTCAAAACAACAACTTTTCCTACCTTGTCTGCCATTATCATGGAGGACCCACCATGAATTCCAAGAATCGGAATAAAGGTCTGAGATGAAATAAAATCCAAAATCTGGGCTATCGCCTCCTGATCAGTATCATCTCCAAAAACCACCCCATGGATCTTGGTGCCTGACATCAAGTCACAAACATGTGTTATAATGCTTTTAGGGTCAGTCTGGTTCACCAGAAGGGTCACTACATTGACATCAATGGCCAGGTCTGCTGACATTTCCCTGGTCCAGAGAGCTCGGATGTCTCTCTCCGTGATATACTTCGTCCTTCCCAGAATCACTGCAATGTTCAGGATGGGATAACTTTTCTCTGCTCCGCGAACAAGATCCAACTGCACCAGTAGAGCTTGGAGTACCAGGAGAGCATAGCCAATTTTCCCCATCTTTGCCAGGTTTATCCCCTGTAAAAGTGATCACATTGTATGATAGAGAGAAAAAAAAGCAAAGCACACTTATGTAGTCTCCTACCAGACTTTTCATGCAAAACATCTGCACAAGGCATCCTTTAAGGCCATTCCCTTAAATAGGCTGTTTACTGTAACCTTAATATTGACTTCATTTTATCCCCCCCAACCACCCTTCTCCCCCCCAAAAAATTAGCTCCGCAATGACAGCGATGACTTTTCTCCAGCAAGCTGGAAAAGTGCAGCACAAGATCTGGGGAAAGACATACTGCTTCCAATCTAGTTAACATAAGTTAAATAACAATTAGCATGGGACAGACCTGTGTTTTTCTTACACTTCACCAAAATTTACAACCCCCCCCACCGCGCACCAAAAAAAAAAGCAGGTAAGCGACTAGGAAGGAGACTCACCTTTCCTTAAAATGCTGCGCACACAGAGAAGTGTGCTGACAACCCGCACCCACACGCCCCATCTGTCTGTCTTTGTATCCCAGAATTGTGCATTTTTAGTTTCCAACCTCTCAGATGGCTGCAACTCATGAATAACGACTTCATTTCTGGAACAGGTTCAGAGACACTACCCCCCCCCCAAACTCTGCATTCAGTTTAACTCCTCCACACTGGGATCTCAGGGAACCAGGCTGTCACTGGGGTTGGAGGAAAGGTGTTCAGTGAAAGCACCTCTGCACTGAAACTGCCTTTTGTGTCCTCAGCAGCTCCTTAAGGGCTAAAGATGGGGAGGCAGGTGGGCAGGGAGGGGGAAGAACAGCAGATGATGAGAGTGAGCTGAACATCACCCCCTAAACGTGGGGGAGGGACCGGGCTCTCTCATGTCTTTTTTGGGCCCGGGGATGGCCAGCCCCTTTGCTGGCACTGCCCACACACATCATGCAGCAAACACTAGCAGCATTGCTCAGGTCTCTGCCCCTGCTCCTGCTACCCACCAGGTCTGCATCGTCCCTCGGGATCTGGCCCCTCGTCTGCCGCTGGCTACCAGCCAGCCCCGGCTCCGGCTCCGGCTCCGGCCCGGGGGTGGGAAGCAACACGGGGCTTTCCGCAGGGGGCGAGCTGCCCGGTGCTTGCTAAGCCCTGGCGCTGCGCGCCAGCTCCCTACTCCCGCAGGTTTGGAAAGAAATAACCCCAGACCCTGCAGCTGTGGAGCTGTTTCCTCTCCTCCCGCTCTCGGGGAAGAGGGGCATTTCGGACATGCGATCTGGCTTTGCTTCAGAAACTGCGCTGCGTTGGGAAGCAGGAGTGGCGGCGGTGACAGCTGTAGGCACGCACGCGGCCCAAGCAGGAGGTGAAATCCTGCGAAGTTCACCTACTACGTATGACAGCGGCACAGAATCCCCTTCCATTCATGCGGCGGCCAAGCGAAGGGCAACAGCGCCCCGCGGTGGTCTCGCAGCGCCCGGCCTCATTGCACAAACTTTCCAAACGTACCAGAAATGTCAGAAAACGTAGTTGCTGCTATTTGGCATGCTGCAAACTTTGGCATCTCGCAGTCCTCAGCTCCAAGGGTTAGAGGGTGCCGCCATCCTTCTTTCCAAACGCATGATGCTGGCCGCAGCTTGCAGTCCTCATCGCATCCAAGGGAGGCAGCTATGCGAGCAGGAGGATATGGAAAGGGGGTCTGCAAAATGAAGGGAAGGAGAAGGGTTAAAGGGGTTGCAGGAACTGGGGAGAAAAGATGGATGTCAACCATTAGTCGGACCGAAGGTGGGATTGAACCCAAAACCCTGGTGGACGTGCCATGTAAACCGGAGGTGTCACGCCAATAAAGTTGGTGCTTCATTTTATGGCAAAATGAATTCCAGATCTTCGCTAACACAAGTCAGAGTGTGGCCAGCCTCCCTGAAAATCCTCTCCCTCCTACCCAGGCAGGTTGGGGAAAAAATACTGTGCTAGTAACAGTGTGGTTGCTTCCCATGGCAATGCATGGTTTTGAGCTAGAAGGGGATGAGGCAGCCGACCTGGAATGAATAGCTGGGAGCAAAACTAATTCAGATGATCAAGGGCACGAGTTTTCGTGACAGGTTCAAAACAAGCATAATCTAGAAAACAGCTCTATCAGTAAGGGAAATCGCTCTTTTTTGATCTCGTAGAGGAGCAGCCTGGGTCTTCATTTACGGTAAACAAACTGGGCGAGATACAGACGAAGCAATTACTCCAGGAAAAGCGGTGCTTGCTTTGATTTCTCATTTATTAGCTCTAGAAGAAAAAAAAGAAAATGACTGATACTTCCTAAAGTACCCATAGCTCAATTCAGAATGGTGGCATGTTTGGCAAATAAAAAGCAGCATTAGCTATAAGCTTCATAACTAGAAACTAAAAACCAGGATTTTGAGAGAGAGAGAGAGACTGCAACATTTCCATAAATGTATGCATGCCATTCAGAGCCCATTTGCAGCTACTAAGAGCACATTAGAGCTAGCCAGAAAGGGAAATACTTACTGCATTCTCCCTCCACATAGTTCCAGTCTTAAGATCCTCCAAGTCATTTCAGTAGATTCCTTTGCAAACAACGAAGTAGAAAATAGACCTCTTAATCCCTTGATTTCATCCTGCAACTTCTTCCCACTGCAGTAAAGACAAGCCCAGCAGCTCTTTATCGCTTAAAATCCCCCATGATCAAGTTTTAGCAATGCCATTGCCACTGAGATTTGCTCTGTACTCTTGGCAGGAGGCATTCAAGCATCTTCATTTTTTTTTAAAAGGCAATTGTAATCTTGCTGCAGCAATGCTCCAGGATAGCGGGCTCACAGCCTCAGTATTCCTCTCGGCTTCTTGGAAACGGAGGGGCTTGTCAGCATCACGTCCCGAAGGGGGGAGAGGGAATTGCAGTGCCTTGCACAGAGCAGGGATTTTTCCCCTTGCTGGGAAAGCGCGGGTGACAGTAGCCCTGTCCTGCACGTAAGAGGCAGGGAGCTGCAGTCGGGTTGGGAGCTGCATGCACAGTCTAGTAATCCACGCTGCAAGCAGCAAAGCTTTTCAGCAATGCCAAGCAGGGTCCTTTCTCTGCCCACCCGCCTCCCCCCACTCACACTGGGGGGATGGGATGGGGGGGGGTAACTGGAATAGGGAATTAATCCAACAGAATCTGACTACATGGAAAGAAAGCAAGACAAGTATTTTAGTGGTGACATTCAATTCATAGGTGTCCCCTGCTTCCTGCCACATGCTCCCATCTTCCTCCTACAAACACCAGGGCGGTTGGGTCTGGGCACTTCCAGTCCAAGCTCCTGGGTTGCCGGGGAGGTAAAACCAGCCCTGCTCTGGGCACTGCAAGAACAACTCTCCCATCAGCAGCACCAAGGGCTGGGCAGGCAGTAGGGATCCCTGCCCTGGGCCATCATTCCTCTGGATCACAAGGGCTCTGTGCCTCTGCCATGTGAGCTCTGGGGAAGTAAAAGCAACGATTCTGAGGGTGAGGCCAGCTCTGAAAGTGTGAGACCCAGGTCTTGGGGCTGATAAAAAGAACAGCACCTAGTCTCCTTCCTCTCTAGTCTTTTAGAACAGTTTAAGGAACCATGCCCATTTATCTTCCTTTCCATCCATCTACAGTCCTGCAGACACTGAGGACAGACCAGTACTGTACTAAAAGTCCTGACATCCCTGCGTGAACTTTTAGTATTGGGCCCCCCTTCACCGGAGATAATTTTAATAATAATCAGACAATTGGTGGGGGGGAACCATTTTCAGGCCCCCTTTCTTTCTGGGTTGGGTTGCCAACTCTGACTGAAGCTATTCCAGGAGATTTTTTTTTCCAGCATGATGTAATGTTATTAATTGTACTGTTCAACCCATTCACAATAACAATCTCCTGGATTGCTTTCAATAGTCACCGGGAGATCGATGCCGATTCCACTAGACTCCTGGCCAATCCGGGAGGGTTGGCAATCCTATGTCCGGGCCCTAGGCAGCCACCCGGTTCACCCATGCCTGTGTCCAGCTCTGGGACAGACTGCTAATTGTCCCCTGCCACCCTCTGCTTTCCCTGCACCCCACCACCTCCCTACTACCTTACTCTCTGTTACTCGTCTCTTCCCCAGCCACCCCACTTTTCAACCCGGTCAGCCTACTCCTGACTTGGTTCACTTTTACAAAGTGGAGCTAATACTTTGTGTATTGATCACAACACAGTTTTTGTGTTACATCCTTTTCTTTCTACCTTCATTGCTCTTTTCCATATCCCTGTTAAACTTTTCAGAGCAGAGAGTATGTATACATCTGTTCAACACCTAGCACAAATGGGATCTAAACTCAACAGGGCTACTAGGCTGTATTATGCATAATACATGTATTACAGGCTGTATTATATATACTACACAGTGGCATAACAAGCAGAGTTGCCACCCAGGGAAAACACTGCTGGAGAGTTGGGGAGCGCGCTGCAGATTGTGGGGAACATAAGTTTAGGGGGTCGGGGAAGAGGAATGGGATCTGAGAGCAGAGGCAGAGGGCACAGGATCTGAGAGCGGGGGTGGGTGGGGAAGCACCCACAGGTTCAAGGAGTTGGGGAGGGACTCGTACAAGGGTGACCATATGTCCCCAGTTGAGCCAGAACAGTCCCAGTTTCCAGAGGCTGCTCCCAGCTAGCTGTTGAGAATTATAATGGGGATCTCAGAAATGCAGGAGCACAGGGCACAGTCTGGCCAGGAGTCAGAACGGTGTAGAGCACCTTGCAGGTGAGCAGGCAGCCCCACCCCCTCTGACTTGTGAGAGGGGGGTGGGAGGGAGGGAGGCCAGTGTCCTGGATTTTCAGGATTTCCATATGGTCAGCCTACCTCTTACCCACACCAGGAACTCCAGAATCCCAGCTGAGCTGCTGCTGCCAGCACATCCGCCCATGGTGACCAGGTTACTCTTGAAGTGGCAGCAGCCAGGAACTGTTTTGAAGTTCCCAGCATAGCAATGCCTTTAAGGCATGGACTCCAGAGGGATCAGTGCCCCTCCTAACTTGCAGCCCAGGGCAGGTGCTCCTCTTGCCCACCCCTAGTTACATTACTGAAAATGCATACCAGCCCACCACACTGAAATTTGCCTATCTTTACCCTACAGAACTCCCTACCTTAAATATTTCATTATCAGTTTTATTGACCGTCACACCTTTGTGATCACATCCCCCAACAGCTTTATGCTTTTTTTGCAACCTTTGTCCTCAGTACATAAAGAAAAGATTTCTATACGCATTGCATTAGTCCTACTAGCAAAGCAATAAAAGAACTATAATACTACCATTTGTGAAAATGTGATGTTGTAAGCTTTAACATATTTCGCCCTTGACATACTTCTCTTTTACAAAGATTACAACAGTGCCAGGTAATGTTAGTAGCACTAAGCTGGTCCTCTTGCCATTATAAGTCCTTTCCAGAGATTATCATACCAAGCAATTCACAAGTGGGTGAAAACAGGAACTTGTGATACTAACATACAGGTGAAACTTGCTATAACAAAGCTGGAATTCGCCTGGACGTACATTAGAAAATTATTTAAATATCAAGAAAAGTATCAATGTATTTAACATTCCATCCAGGAAGAGCACACACCAACTGCTGTAACTTCCTTAGCCTGACGAAGGGTTTTTGAACTTGAAAGCTTGCTTAATAACTATTCTCCAACCATTTGGGTTGGTCTAATAAAAGATATCAAATTCACCCAAGGAACCTTGTCTGCCTATGTCCTTAGACCAACACGGCTACAACATACCCCCTTGCGATGTATTTAACAAGCATTTAGTGCATTGCAGTCTAATTGATTTTTGCTAGCTTTAAAAGCTGAATTGTGAAAGAATGAAGATCTTAATTTTATATACCTATGTTATGTTGATATAGATATATTTGGATAGACTGGATAGTGTTATTGCAAATACATACTTAACTTTTTCTCAAATAACTCTTATAAAACTTCAATGGTTCAGTGAGGAATCAACCATTTAAAATATTATTTACATAAAAATATCAATAAATATTTAAAGCAAGATTTTTTTTTGGTAGCATCTTTTATTGGACCAGCTACATAGTTGGGAGTGATGTTATATTCAGCATGTTTGGAAAACTGCTCCAATATATAGGTTTTCATTCAAGACACATGCAAACAAATATCACTCAGAGGAGCAGCCTCATTGATTTCTATTTGACCACAAGTCAGCAGTATCTACTCAGCTAAGTAAAAGCTACAAGAGCAGACTGATCTTTCTTATCAATTTCCAGGCATTTTCATGGGATATTTTTAATTTAAAATTAATGAAAGTACCTGCAGACATGTTAAGAGGTCTCCCTAGTAAATATAGGAAGTGCACAGATTAAATTCCAAAATGTCTTAACCATGCCTAGATCAGGGGTTCTCAACCTTTATGGACTCAAGTGACCCTCATTGGTCTAAAGCAAGGGCAGTCAATTATTTTGGGTGGAGGGCCACTTAACAAATTTTGGTGAGCTGTTGAGGGCCACAAGAGTCTCCCCGCCCCAGTCACCATCTTGGGACTGTAAAACCCAGCCCCTAACCCCTGACCTTTGCCACTGGAAGTCCCTCCCCTTGCCCCCCCCCCCCACAAAGTACTCCTTTTGGGAAGGGAGTCTGCCATCTTGGAATGAGAA